ATCTAATCAATGCCAGAGAGAGAGTCTGAAGGGAGAATACTTCACACCATTGAGTCCTAATATGGTTTTGTTATCCCAGTGTAGTCCTAATTACTTCAAGAAGGTTTAGGAAACTTGTCCTACGAAAATTCAATTTCAATTCTATAAAAAGTGAAACCTACACACAGACACCCATACACACACAAACGCATGCACACTTACCTAGAAATACAGCTATTCCTCACGTAGTATTTCACGCTGTTTTACCCGAGCCCTTTTGCTCACCTTTGCCATAGTTATTTGTCCTACTAAACTGCATATATTAAAAAATATCTGTCTCCTTACAGGCAAAGATTATGTGTTTAACCTCCAGATCTTTGCATCTAACATAGCAATGGGCATAAATAAATGCTTTTCTGAATTAATTTACGAAAGGAGATATAAATGTCATAAAACAGAGTGCTATAACTCCAAAAAGGCTAGAAATCTGCTGCTCTAACAATGTTGTTACATATTTTAGACTTCTAGAGAATTTTTTAATAGCTTTGAAAATTCAAAAGGTATCATAAACTTTCCTTCCTCCCTGTCAACTTTGGGCTATTTCTCCTATATGTTTCTGCTATAGACATATCAAACTATATCACATTTTATTTTTCACTAAAAAAATATTTACTGAATGCCTACTCTGTGCTAGGTATGTTGCTTGGCAGAAAGACTATGCCACTGAGGTCAGACATACCCCCAAAGATCTAGAATATATGGCACCTGAAGCATCTGTGCATTGGTGAGGTATTCTTTTTTATTTTCAAACATATAGAAAATATTGTGAAGAACAGTAAATAATGTAACAAAGTTGTATATTCACCTGTGTTTATATGTCTGATACTCCTACTAGTCTGTTAGATGATGATGCTTTATCTTGCATCTTGTGTGCCTAACATGGAAGTTGGCAGATATTGGGTACTCAATAAACATTTGTTGAAAAAATGATTCAGCAAAAAAATAGGGTACAGCTTGAAGCTTTATTTTTATTTAATTAATACCATGTACTTTTTTCACATTTCCTTCAGTCGCTAAAATAATCATGGAAGTAACTTCTGTTACAATGTGACATTCACAGTTAACTTCTATGGACACTCACTGTTTTATCTCATTCAAATAGCATCCTCTCACTACTTAGATATTGTACTACTTCTCTGTTTGAACTTAGTTTTCTGGCTCTAACATGTCTGTTGATCCTTGTATTTTCTCATTACACTGCGTTGATACCCAAGAAACACTGCAGAAGGGAATATGTGCTAAGCAAGGGATCTCTAGAATAATATGATTGCTCCATCAACAGAAAGATTTAGCAAAGTGTTAAAGCAGGAGAAAGACAAGCCCATTTCAATTAACTTTTCTAGAATTGACTTCAGATCCTGCTAAAGGAATCATCTGACCTTCTTAAACATTACTACCTTTAGGAATGAGAGAGAAAGAAAGTGGGAGCAAGGGAGCAAGACAGACTGACAACACCTGTGGAAATAAGACCAGTTACATTTCCTACTGAATGGAAAGGAATCTCCAAATTAACCTCTCATGGCATCAGCAGGCAGGCAGGAATCTAACTCTGAGGCACGGACCTAAAATGAGCAAATGGCACTAATTTGCTAAACCTCAAGAAAAACCTAGACATTAATTTTCTGTTTTTAGTGAATTATAAATGAACAGTCATGAAAATACCTACTAAAACAGTTAAAACCAAAACCAAAGATCTGTATTTTCTGTAATGGTTGAACTGTGAAATAGGTAAAGATTTTAAAAGCAAAATGCCCAGGGTTTGAAAAGGTATAAACCAGCACTATTCTTCTGAAGGTCAATTTAACAATATATATCAAAAACCCTCAAGTTTTGAAAAACTTTTTGGCCCACCAATGATTTTACAAAGAGAAAATTCGCTGTATACTATTTAAAATAGCAAACATTTGCAAACAATCTGAATGCCTACACACAGGGGATTTGTTAAAGACTGATAAATCCTTATTGAAGGAATACTCATAAGTATAAAAATACTTGAGAGTATTCCATTATAAGGATTTATCAGTCTTTAACAAATAGAAGAAAGTGGTTGTCAAAATTTTCTTTGGGTTGCAGAACTTTTTTTATTCCCAAATCAAATCTAGTTATAACCTAAATTTAAAGAGAAGCAACAACAAAGGTGCTCTTTTTAAAGTGAGGGTGGGGAACCTGGAACACCGCCAACTCAGCCCCAGAGGCTACTCCTAGGTACTCCTAGGAACTTCACGGCTTCAAGGAACACATTTTGAAAACCACTACTCTTCAAGAACATTTATTGTGAAAAAAAGATCAAGATTATAAAACCACTGCTTTTTTGTAAAAAAAAAAAATTATACATATGTTTATATTTATATATTATATAGTGAAGAACTGTTAGAAAGATATACGTCAAAATGTAATAGTGCTTATCTTTGAGTGATGGTTTTATAGGTAATTTGTATTGTTGCTTGTATGCCTTTTTCCCCTTAGATCTTCTACAATGAGCACGTATTATGTTCATAAGGAAAATAATATTATTTTTAAATTATATTTTAAAGTTAGATTCTTCTGTATGGTAAGTTTTCCATATTCCTTTCTTTCAGTTGGTATTTTAAAGTATAACAATTCTTTAAGTGCTTGCTTAATTGGAGAAAGATGTCTTTGGTCTGACAATCAAGGAGATACTAAATTCCAAGTAAATGGACTCTTAGTGGCAAGTTTCTCTGCACCCTTATTACAGATTTTCTTTATGCTAAGTTGTGAGTACCTCATTAAAAAGTACTCCATGCTCTAACTTCCATGCCTTTCACATGCTGCTCAATTTCTGGGACATGCTCATCCTCCCCTTCTTCAAATGGCTGAATCATTCTGTCTTCAGATCTCAGAAGAGACCATTAGAAGTCTTCTCTGACTATATGAAGTATTCTCAATCATTGCACTGTTTCTCATAGCACTTAACACAATTTGAATTACATAATTTGTTTACTGATTTATTCTTGTCTTACCAAAAAAACTGAAATTTCATGAAGATAGGGATTATGCCTATTATTTGCTAATATATTACACAACACCCAACATAATACCTAGCAGTTGTCCATAAATATTTGTTGACTGAATGAATAAATGTTTGCTAAAATTTGAATTTGGAGACTCATGGAAACTCAAGTGGTTTGAAATAACTTTTCCCACACTCTTGCCTAAATGGGTTGGCAAGATGCTGTTTTTAATACTGTTTAAATTTCTGACAACTTCAATAATAGCCCAGAGCCACATTAACTGGCCACATTTTATAAAGGCTGTATCAACTGATCCGTGATTGACAAGAGGCACTACGTCTGTTAAGATGCCTACTTCAGGACTACTGATCCTTTCTCACATATCTTTTGGAGAATAAACATGCTAACACAGAATGAGTATTTGCCACTTTAACATTTTCTAAAGCTTCTTACAGCCCCACTATTACTTATAACTGAAGCACACTAATGAGGGCTCATTTCAATTTACTGATATTTATTACATGTCATCTCATACATAAACTGATGTGCAGCCACTGAATTATAAACCCTTTTGTCAGGAATCTGAACAGTGTGAGCTACTATTTTGGACACAGTTTAAATAACAGGGGCTCCAACAATGGCAAACCAACAGACTCAGAAGAGCTCTTGCAACTAAATGGAGAACTTAAAAACACCAAAACAAACAGTGTAAGAAAAATAACCATAGAAGGCACCAAATAAGCATAGAGACATAACATTTTAAATACTTCCAAATATTTGGTTTCAGAGCATAAATGGAGCATGTGGGCTTTCCACATCTTCTCCTGCCAAGTCCCAGGAAAAACTGACCATACTACAGTCATCTGAAACAGCTGTTAGAACTGATCTTCAAATATTTGGTTTCAAAATATAGACCTATTTGCACTTTAAAACTCAGATGCCTGCATACTCCCACTATAGCACTACACTGAGATAATCCTTTCAAAGTAGGCTGCTGGCAAAAACAGATCTTTATTCATAGTAAGAACTGCTTCAAATGGACACAGCAAAATGTTAGCATAACTCGTAAAGTCAATTGTCAGAAAAGATAATTTGCTCTGGCACCAAAATACTTCTTTTCTTCCTTTTTTCTTTTTTAAAGCAGAGGCTGAATTTCACCAGCTATTTAAGGTTAAAGAGAGAGGGTAAATGTGAAATGTTAGGATTCTAGAAGCAAGGAAAACAGTTTACGTCCACTTCACTTAAAATTGTTGACTTCCTTAAACTAAATTTCTTGTTTAGCATATTGTTCTTCTGGGTACTTAAATATAAACTATCAAATCTGCCTCACTTTGGGTTGCTGGAAGGTCCAAACCACAGAAAAGGATCTTGGTCTAGAAATAAGTCAAGTTGTTTAAATTACTCTTTTCCATACTCTGATGTAATTATGCTTATTTTCTAGGATTGTGTACAAGCATGGATATCTAGTTGTAGTCCAACACTTCTGATAATTATCTAACAATATACAGTAATACACTAGGAGGCTGGGATCATAGGTGACACACACAGCATGTTTTACTCTTCTGGGTAGACATCAACTCTGACTGATCAACTTCAACTGGCCTGATTTATCTTTTCTTTAAGATGGCAACCATTGAAAATGCCTATACCTTTATGAACGACATTGTTTTGTTTCCCTTCAAATCTTATCATTTAAACATTGTTCCTGAAAGAGGCACTCTTAAAAAAAAAGACACGGGATAGTACAACTCAGAAAAGGAATTCTATTTGACATCTTATGAAACAGTATTCCATCTTCACCCTATTCTTCTGATAAGTATTACACAAATGGAAAGAATAAGACTTACAATGGTTAAAGAAATGTATCTTGAGTCATACAACTGATTAATGGGGGAACTGGAAACTTAGCATTCCTTCCTCGCAGGCAGCTCTTGGGATGCCCCAGACCAATTAAATTCCAGGTAGATAAGAATACCTTCTCAGCCTTACCTCCTTATGCACCTTCCAACTGTCTACCGTCACATTGAAGAGAGCTTTGAGGGCCTCAATGGCACAGTCTGTCTCCTGAGGTGAGAGAGGAGGTCCATTATGGTCTATGGCCGATTCATACTCATCGGTCCACTTGATGCTAAAGGCACTTTCCAAGATCTGGGTTAGCAGCGGTAGTCCCTGGAGCTCATAGCGCAATTGTGACCTGATGTCGGTGTGCAAAAGTGACAAGAGGAAGAGCAAGCGCAAGTCAAAGCACTTAATGTCATTGATAAATTTTCGGTCCTTGCACTTTCTCAGGAGGTTACAGAGCTTTGCAGCAAGGTTAAGTTCCAGGCTGAGCTGCTGTGCCATCTGACTGTTGAACACTATGTTACACAGACATTTTAATGACTCCACAATAACTGGGAACTCTGACACCTTCTCCAAAGAATCATCCGACTCATTTAGCTTGGCTAGTCTCAGCAGTATCTGCATATTTTCCTTGGTTGTTACAGGAACTAAAACCTTTTTGTCTCTGGAGAGAATGCGGAGAACTTCCAGGCAGGACACTTGACATGTTGTTGGGATGTCCTTTACAAGGACTTTAAATATGCCTTCACAGAGTTTCTGAAAAATAAGAACGAGTATGCAAAAATCATTATTTGGCCTAAATGATTTAAAACAGAACGTTTCTCTACGAATGTATTTAATAGCAGTTCTGGATCTGGTTAGAAAAGATTTTTATTTTTTTAAAATCACAGAATGTTAGAACTGAAAGAGAACTTATATTTTGTGCACTGCTTTCACTTTACAGATAGGGAAATTGAGGTTAAGTTACTTGTCCTGGGCCAGAGCGAATTAGTGAGGTAGCAGGAGCTGCAGTATGGGTTTCCTAACTTCCAGCCCAACAGTCTTTCCATAAAATCACTTACTCTCTTTTAAATTGACTAGTTTCAAATTTCTTATATAGCTTCATTCTCAATGGTTTTTACATCAGACTACACATAATATCAGGATGGAGGGCAATCAGTCTGAATCATAGCTGTTCCCTTCCCGGAAGTAAAGATTAAGGCCTCAAGAATTGGTTCACAATTGCCCACAAGTACAGGCTCTTGTAAAAAGACAAAGAAGTATGCACTTCTGCCGAGTTACAGCTGTGTTATATCTTCTGGATTTATAGTTCTATGGCAGTAGTCTCATATTTTATAAAGCTTAGAACTCTCTTTAGCTAACATGTAATAAGATTCAATCATCAAATGACCCCAGAGAATATCTTCTTTTGACAAAACTGCTAAAAATTATTTCAAGTGTAGGGTTCCAAAGAGGGCTCAGCTAGCATATATGATGCCTTTGAGCCAATCACAAGAAGATACCCCTCTCTAGGCCTACTAACCGCAAAAAAGTGTTCCTACTGGGTGAACAAATGACAAAAAAGTACCTCTTCCTCTGGGCAGCCCTGTGCCAGGACACACGGCTTGGGAAGCTCAGAGTGTGGGCAGGATCTTATTAGTTCCTCTTTGTTCTCTTGGTGTAGGGCACAGATGATACAAATACATGTAGTAGTCCTGTTTCCAAACCTTGCTACCACTATCTCAGAAACAATTCTTTTAGGATGAACCCAAAGTGTACTCTATCTTGTATTTTTTGAATAAAACTTCTTTCTTTTTTTTTTTTTTACAGATTGGCACCTGAACTAACAACTGTTGCCAATCTTCTTTTTTTTTTTCTGCTTTTTCTCCCCAAATCCCCCCAGTACATAATTGTATATTTTAGTTGTGGGTCCTTCTAGTTGTGGTATGTAGGACACCACCTTAACGTGGCCTAATGAGCAGTGCCATGTCCACGCCCAGGATCCAAGCCGGCGAAACCCTGGGCCGCTGAAGCGGAGTGCGAGAACTTAACCACTCAGCCACAGGGCCGGCCCCCAAAACTTATTTCTATCATTGCCAAACTTAAGAACCACTGTTCATTCTCTCAAAATGCAATGTCCAGCTTTCTTCTCCATAAACTGCAGGTCTGGGTCCCTCAAGCTCACGCCTGAAATGTGGAGTAAGCCAGTATAACCTTTCCACTGCTGACCATTTCTGTACCTGTTATACTTTAGAAAAACAACAGCAACAACAACTATGACCAATAAGATTTTACGAAGTTTCTATTAACCTATCATCAGACTTTAACTCTTTAAAAAGAGGGCTGTGGGTCAAGCATTATGATCTTGGCAGGAATCCCAGGCTGTGTCTAGCTTCTCAGTACATCCTAGTTGTATGGCTATGGAAATGCCAATTTTAAATGTACTACGTTCTCTAGATGGAGGTGGGAAGGATTACCCTGACAAGCTAAAACAATTTCATAATAACGTCAACTCTATCCCTGCCATACCTGATAAGTGGAAGGGACTTTGATTTAATGTTTTAATATCATTGTTAAAGCATTTTTTTTAAATGAATGAAGTTTGGGGTAGGGGGAAAGTACAATGTGCCCAGAGGGAAAATTTTCTCCGGTTTCAGATCTTTCACATTCCAGACAAAAAAAAATACATTCTACATACTCCTATGTGGTATATTCCCAGGGATGGAGTCAGATAACCTTGCTCTCATATAATTTTGCTCAAGAGAGAAGTCATCTACATTTCTATTTAAATTAAGAAATATGTAACAAATAAGGTATTATAAAATATTGTATGTGAATTTGGAGTTCTACATATCTAATAAAACAAAGACATCTTTAACTCCTTCCTCTCTAAGCCAAAAACAACAGCAACAACAAAATCCAAAAAAAATCCATGGGCAATATGGCTTCTTTCTTCCTCTACCTTCAGACTCAAGAAAGGAAATGAGCAAAGCATGAATGCAAATTGGACTAGCCAAGACTATAAACCAAATGGACTGTGAAACTTTGAGACATAAGAAGCCTACATGAAAGAGATTAGAGGTGCCCATAAAATTTATAGTTAAAAACTGCCTCATCTAAAGGCTTGGAGGAGATCCACTAGCAACCAAAGACAAGAGTTCTAGTTTTAAAGCACAGTTTTCAATCATAGCTGTCTTAAACATGCCATTTCTCATTACACAGTTGCCTCACATAATGAGTGTTAAGTAGCTTTTTGCCATAATGTCTCTTGAAAAGTAATACCACTTTTTGGACAATGACTCTTCCTTCCCCTTTTTCTGTATTACAACTTAGAAATTAAAGACATACTCAAAACATAACAAAATAAGTGATATTTAATAGACATACTCATTGCTGTACTCAATACAATAATTTCTATTCAGAGAATATTATAAAGAACAAATTAATAAATCGTGTACCACATTTGGATGAATGAGAAAAGTTTCGCTTTGCATACGTACACCAAGCAAGAGGACTGAAGATGCAGCATTCTTTAGGATTCCTCCATCTGTTGAGTGTGTACATTGCTTCTATGTTTCAAAGGTGCTCTTGTATTTCATCTTTATTTTGTCCTAACAATACCTTTCTGTGCTATGACTATTTTTTCAGCTGATTTTACTCTAAAACATGCCCCGCTCATTTCCAACTCTTTCCATAGCTCCCTGTTGCCCACAGAATGTAGGTGAAAACAGCCCAATGTCCCCTTTCCTACTGCTGTCTCTGTCACAGATCCCCTCCTCTTTCTTTTCCAAGTGCTCCAAACTGAGTCCCAGTACCCTGACCCTAAGTTCTGAGCCTTTCCCCCACTGCTCCTTCAGAATGGCTTGGCCTGCCACCATATCCAACAGTCAGGACCTCACTCTTTTTCTAAGGTTTAGTTCAAGCACTGAGGGGTCTATAAGCCTCCCCAGCCAATCCCTCCTTTTCTCTCTTTCTGTTTGTGCCTTCAATAAGCATTTAGTTTTTGCCTTTATAATCCCAGTGGCTGGCCCAGGAGTGCTATAACTATTTTTAACTTCAAGATAACCATGAACTCCCAAAGATTACCTGCCTTAAAGTCTACCGCCTAACTCTCCAGCACCTTCCAAAGAATGACTCCTTTGTATTCCTCCTCCACCAGCCACTACCCACTATCAAGTGTTCTCTTCCTTTTTTTTTTTTTTTTTTGAGGAAGATTAGCCCTGAGCTAACTACTGCCAATCCTCTTCTTTTTTGCTGAGGAAGACTGGCCCTGAGCTAACATCTGTGCCCATCTTCCTCTACTTTATATGTGGGACGCCCACCACAGCATGGCTTTTGCCAAGCGGTGCTATGTCTGCACCTGGGATCTGAACTGGTGAATGCCAGGCCGCCGAGAAGTGGAACGTGCAAACTTAACCACTGTGCCACCGGGCCGGCCCCTTCTCTTCCTCTTTTTACAAGTACAATAAACCATCCTATATTACATTACATTTACAAAGTGTTTTTATTTACTTTCAGAGTATTTATTTATACAAACTTGTTTTCATTGTTCAACTGACACATTTTTTAATCTGAAAATTATTTTGGTATCATAGATAATCATGGAATATATAATTTATTCCATTAAGATTAATGGAAATATTTTCTGACTTACTAACTTTTTACTTAGAGGTCAGGTTTTCAGGGACAGTAAAGTCATAAAGCAAAGGTTAGGTATGCTTACAAAGTATAATTACAAGAATCAAAGAGTCTAAGAAAAAGCCCTTTTAAAATGCTCATTAGCTTAGTAAGCCATGGCTACTTCTATAAAGTTAGACTGCAAGACTCAGCAGCAGAGACTCAAGAGTAAGATCCCAATTGGTTCTCCAATGCTACTACCAGGTACTGCTAAAAAGTTTTTCAGTAGTTTGTTCCTATATTGAAACCCTAGGGTATTCTACAGCAGTGGTTCTCAAACTTCAGCATGCATCATAATCATGTAAAGGGATCGTTAAAACACAGATTGTTGCACCTCCCCTCCCCACCCAGAGTTTCTCATTCAGTGGGTCTGGAGTGAGGGTCCATAATTGGGACTTCTAACAAGTTCCCAGTTGATGCTGCTGCTGCTGGTTCAGGAGTCATACTCTGAGAACCACTGAACTATGGTTAACATTGAACTGACACAACTTGGATGTTAGGGTGTAGGGGTTAACTGAGAGTAATTGACTGAGCATAGAAAAGCAGGCAGAGTTGAAAGCTATTAGTACAAATACCTTAACTTCTCCTTGACTGTCCTGAAGATGTATAAGGTGCCAGGCATAGGGATGGGATGTCATGGTCTGGTCACATTACCTTTCTTAACTTAAATGTTAAAAACGTCTAGAGGTACGAAGCATATTACTTGTTTAAGCTCAGTGGTCCTGAGCTTGAAACTTGTTCAACTTACCATAGACTCTAGAACCAGAACAGTGTTGTGATTAAGAGCAGGAGTTCTGGATTTAAATTACTTGTGTTCAAACCCTTGGCTCTTGTACCATCTTCTAATGGTGTGCCTTGGCAAGTTACTCAGCCTCTCTGGGCCTCATTTACTCTAAGAGTTAAATGACATCACACATGTATGGTACTTAGAACAGTGCCTAGTATGTGCACTAGTAAGTGTTCAGTATAGGTTATCTTTGATATATTATTATAAGACCATATCTCAAAGTCCTCCAGTTAGCATTTAACATCCTCCAACCTGCTTTTGAATCTTTTCTTTCATACTATTCCCCTATCGAACTCTTCTCTCTAGATATATG